GTTTACTGTTACTCTCCAACTTAACTGAGGCCCTCATTGTTTAGCGATGGGGAGAAAAGGAGGGAGAGGACAGCAGAAGACAGCGGCCCGTCCACATCATCCTCCCGAACAAATAACAACAGAGAAGATGAAGAAGGGGCGGCCCCTTCAACCTCTGCAGCGGGGAGCCAGGATGAGGAAGGAGGGGAGAAGGATGAGGAGGGAAAGGATGAGGCAGCAGAGGCTGTTTTGACAGAAGAGGACCTCATCCAGCAGAGCCAGGCGGAGTACGATTCCGGTCGCTACAGCCCCACGCTGCTCACCCTCTCTGAGCTGCCTCTGGATACTCACACCATCACGCCTGAGGAAGATGCACACAGGCTCCAGTTAGCCCGTAGACAGCTTCAAGTCACAGGTAAGGCACTTTGGGCTCACTCCTCCAAGGGAACTTAGATGTGTGAATATCAGAGCTCCAAAATATCTCTTTCTGTGCATCTCAGGTGACGCCAACGAAAGCGCAGAAGATGCTTTTGTGCGCCGAGCCAAAGAGGGGATGGGCAACGACGAGGCGCAGTTCAGCGTGGAGATTCCCGTCGCCGGGAAAATGTACCTGTGGGCGGATAAGTACCGTCCCCGCAAACCCCGCTTCTTCAACAGGGTCCACACAGGCTTCGAGTGGAACAAGTACAACCAGACTCACTACGACTTCGACAACCCCCCGCCCAAGATCGTCCAGGGATACAAGTTCAACATCTTCTACCCCGACCTGATCGACAAGCGCTCCACGCCCCAGTACTTCCTGGAACCCTGTCCCGACAACAAGGACTTTGGGATTTTGAGGTTCCACGCCGGCCCGCCCTATGAGGACATTGCTTTTAAGATTGTGAACAGGGAGTGGGAGTATTCCCACCGACACGGCTTCCGCTGTCAGTTCGCCAACGGGATTTTCCAGCTATGGTTCCACTTTAAGAGATACCGCTATAGGAGATGAAGGCTAAACCACCAGCATGAACCTAAACCTCAGGGAGCAGTTTGGGAAATCAGACCTAGAAAAACACATAGAAACTGGGTGATTTGGCTCTTTTGTTCAACTTTTAGCTGCTCTCGCATTAAAGTAGAGCTTTGGTTACAAACGCTGTAATGTTGTGTGATAGTTAAACTGTAAATGATGTCAGCTAAATACAAATTAAAGATTTTTTTCTACTGTTTGGAAGCTGCCAATTATTGACTGTTCTCAAATCTAAGGTGAAATCATTGGAAAATCATAGATGATCTGTTTAAATGAGGCTATTTACAAGAAATTCACAACCTGAGATAAATATTTTTAAAGGAATGAAAACTATGAGTTCATTAACTAGAACAGAGCTGTACAAGATACTAGAAATGGATTAGAATTGCAAAATGAGTTTGAGCAATACTGTAAAAGTTGATTAGAACGCAAACATTGAAGCCTTTTTTTTATTTCAGATTTCAGGACTACGGTATTCACTGTGGTTAACTCTAGATAACTGCTGCAGTAATAATACAGGAGAGAAGTAATGGATCATTGAGTTAAAGGGATCTATTTTATTCTTCTAGTGAAGCTAGTCATTTGGATTGCTTAGGTGTGATTTTTGGTCTCATTCCTGAAGGGGTCCATTATAGCCTCCTTTATTCTTTCCATAGATTTGCCGTTTGGGTTGTTGTCACGCTAGTAACAAAGAGCTTTTTACTAGCATGACAACACCTCCTCCTGTTGCATTTCATTCTCTTGATGAAAGAAATCCACCTTTACCTCATCTTAAATTATTACAAATCTTTATCGCTTAAAAAAAAAAATCATCCTCGGTGTGGTTAGATAAAGACCCCTAGAACTGCTCAAAGTTTGCAGCTATTTTCCCTCTCTATTCGGTGTATAGGTTGAAATCCAGTGTTTAGTCTGATCTCGCCTAACCCAGACCCTTATAATAGATTTCTATCAACTTTAGACTCTAACGTGATTTTCTTTTAAATTGTGGAGTCTTGGGCAGTGAATAGAAATCAAGGCCATTATAGTTGATTTTAAAGCTGTTCTCTGAAAAGATATGTATTATGGAGGACCAGAAGAGTCACTTAAACAGGAAAAAAAGCCATTTCAACTTAAACATGTAAATCATACAATTAGAAAACCAATTTGAAATGTGTTTTTTTATTGCAATTTTCAATTAAATCATTAAAGGCATTTCCATCTCATCCATCACCATTGGTCATTTTGTGACCAATGGTGATGGATGAGATGGTCATTTTGTGAGCCAAGTGTGGTGATATAACCAATGAGAAACCGGGTTTCATCTTGGTTAACTGGTTTTCTGTGAGCTCAGGGACCAAGAGGGTCATGGAAATGATAGAGATGGAACTTCAAATAGGATTTGAAAGTTTAATAAGGCCATGAAAAGCTCTATAGGCCAATATCTTCTAAAATCTTTATTAGGAAAGATATATATATATTTATTAATTGTCGTTCTCAAGTGCCCATTTAGAAACATGATTAGAAAATACGTTTTCAAATTGCAGCATTTAAGAATTAATTTATAAATATATTTTACAATTCTTTAATAGTTGAATTTAAAATTTGCAATTTGAAAATATTTATTTCAAATTAGGTTTTTAATTGTATGATTTGAAATAGCTGTTTTTTTTTTCAGTGACTCTCCTGGTCCCCTATACTGTAGCTGCTCGTTCCAGGTCTTTCTTGTTCTTTGATCACTCAGAAAATTATTCTTTAAACTGTTCTTTAGAAATCTTAGAAGATAACCCATTTTAGGGCTTGTCTATGCAGAAAGGATATTCCTCTTCCAGATTATGACCTTAAAGAGGGTCACTGCAATTTTCAAGTCGAGAATGCAACGATTATTAACTGATCTCTTTGATACCCTTCTTGATTAGGATTAATCTAGTCTATAGAAGGAATTTTCTAATTACTGTGGTCCAAGCTGTTGCTTTGCCCCTTTTCCAGCTACCTTTCTTTGTGTTTTGCATGTTCCCTCTATCGATCCATTTAACACAGCCTAACATCCTGGATGCATTTATTTCTCCATATATATATTGATAACTTTCATTTAACTGAAAATAAAGTTAACACCTTCAGTCCTTATGGACCAACTGCAGAACTGAAACTCTGAAAAGAAGCAGTGTTAATGTTTGTCAGAACACAGGCCGTCACAGGGGACTCCAGCATGATGACCAAACAACTTAAACCGAGGAAAAGTCTTTTATAAATTAAAAGAATATTTAAAAAAGTGACTTTATTTCAAAGGAATAAAGAAATAAACTCTTTCCAGATGGCAATCAGAACAATGTGGCTCAATTCCATTTACAGTAGAAAACTCCTGGAAACTCATCCAGACAGTGAACAATATGAACATTACAAAACACATAAAAAACCAAAACATTCAACTTTAACAAAATAAAAGCTTTGCAGTTAGTTTGAACAACTATGAGTTATTCCAATAAAAGCCTCCTGAATAGAGACCAGAGGAGAGATGAACATTTTTTTTTCAGTGCTGCTGCTTCTAAACTATAATTAAATAAGAAAAAAAAAAGCCTTGGCTCGCTCACATTCATTAATCAATCAATTCAAAGTGGAGCTCACAGTAAAACTGATTACACAGTAGCAGCTACTTGCCCTCTGGTATGAATATCTGTGCAATGAATTATATGAGTAGAAGCAAAAACTGATTTTATAGGCCTTAAGCTAAAGTAGAAACATTCCTCTCAGCATTTTTAGCAAGATTTATGCATTAGTGGACAGTTTTTATTGTCCCCTTACATTTTCAAGGTAAAGAAGATATAAAGAAGCTCTTACAAACTTTCACTCTAGCAGGTTACCTGGCCTTAATCTGGAAGTGTGATGGTGTTTGAATGAAATGATTGGCTTTTTTTTTTTTTTTAACCAGGATATCTACATTAGTAAAAAGGTAGAATGGGATTTATTCTCACAATAACATAAAACAACAAACCTGAAGTTATCTTAACAAAAGGCCATTTGTGATTTTTAAAGACCCCCAAAATCTACAACAGACAAAAACCAAGTAAAAGTTAAACCTTGGTCCCTGTAATCCTTCACCCTAGAAATACTCAACCTGAGAATCGCACAAATGTCAAACAGAATAAGTAAAGAAAAATACTCCTTTACTTAAAAAACTACAGGTATTTTAATAATTACAGGGTTTAAATGATGGAAATGTATTTTCTACAAGATTTTTTAGGTTGTTTTTTTTTCCAGGATACTCTGTTCTTTCTTTTAAATGATGAAGCCAATACAAAAAATAAAGATCTTGCTAAAAATCTTGAAGAAATGTGCCATCTTTGTTCTAATCCCTTTTAAAGAAAACCAGGTTCTTTTCCACTGAGTTATTCACAGAGACGGATCTAAAGCTAAATATATCCATTTACTTTTCCCAGTCCTTTTCAAACAGATGACTCATCATCGATGAACTGCATAGACGAAAGGTGAACCGTTTGTGCGTCGGTCTCGGCTGAATCACCTCCAGCACTGTTGTGGTTGTTCAGGGTTTTCGCCACCAAGGGCTCACTGGGCTGCTTGGCCTCCTGGTCGGGAGTCTGTTGCTGTTCATCTTTTTTCCCTTTCATGCCGTCCCAAAGCAGACGCAGGCGGGACTTACAAGACATCCATGTCAAAAGGAGAAGAATACAACAAGCCAGGAAGATGATCACACAGATCAGTCCGGTATGAGATGCACTACTGCTCTGAGGCTGAGGAACTGATGTCACTCCAGTCTTGTCCGACCTTTTGGAGTCTATGCTGACCTGGTAAGAAGCTACAAGGGTTCTATGCTCACCAGTTTTATTTTTCTCCACAGAGAAGCAGCGGTAAAGCCCCGCATCATTAGCTAAGCCGTTCAGGATGAGCGGTCCATTCTGAGGAGAATATTGGAGTTCATGGTCATCCTTCATCCAAAGGAGCTTTGCCAGGTTGGAAAGGGAAGGACAGTTGAGCTCAACTTTCTCTCCAAGCGAGATGGTGCGCGGGGAGGGCTCAGCAGGCTCTGAAATCAAAGCAAAGACTCAAAGGTGGATTTTATAACTTTAACCACCCAAAACAAACCACAAGGGGAACCCTTTAACCACAAGCTCCTTAAAATGTCAAAAGTGATACCACTGCCAGAGTGCACTAACTCACCATCCTTGCAATCAAAGGAATTTCCATTCATATTTTGGATTAATGTGCTAAAAAAAGAAATGGAAAAACTAGTTTAGTTTAAAATGAACCAGCATAGCACTGTTTGCTAAAAAACTTTTTATATTTTACCACAGAGAAATATAAAAGAGTATTTTATAACAGGGTTTATACAGGAATGAATAACTCAAATGTAATGCTCTTTTAATGCGCTCAGAAATAATTTTAATGCCACC